TTTCTGTTTATGGATTGATGCTCTACATGGTATCGTTGCTCTTTGTTATTATATAAAAATGTGTTTGAAAGCTATCCAATAATTCTAGTTTGATCATTGTTTGTTTATTGCTTTAAAATTTTATTTGTCGATGATAGCTATTTATCCAAAAAAAAAAAAAAAAAACACAAGAATGTCACTTGTCACTATGTCTGACGTGTTTTTTAAAATGCAGCTTATTTATGAATATCGAATGTGATAAAATTATTATCTCAATAAAGTGTTTCAACAAAAGATAATAACTTTTTTGTATTTACTAAGATATTAACTTTTTTTAATAATGTAATATCAAAAAAATTGATTGATATTTTACATTTTTGAATTAGACATATAATATAGTTGTTGAGCACAACATTTATTCAATGGACATATCTAATACTCCATTAGTCTAATAAAAAAAATAAAAGGAATTTGAAAAAAAATAAATTAAAGTGATGTTTTAAAGTAATTTCATTAATATCATACTTTTTTTTTTTTTGAAGAAATTAATATCAATTACTTCGATATGAATCAATTTTATCATTACTTTTTCGGTAAAACTCAATAATACTCGTTTAAAAGATAATTAAAAAAGAGTTGGAAAACTATTTTAGGTAAATGTGCATGGAAAATTTTAGAACACAATAAAAGGAATACGTATTATATAGAGATAATATATAAGTTTGGAATAATATTATTATAGTTTTATTATAAAAATATTCCAAAAGTAAAATTTTTTTGCTAAAAGGGGATGGGGAGTTTTGGGAGGAAAAAACAGCACTAGGATGTGACACATGTATACTCCCGGTGTCTGTTTTAGTATTAAGTTATTGATTAGGGTAATGCTATATGCAACCCTTAAGCATTTAATATACTTCATTTTTAATATTAAGTTGGGAATTTTGTCGATAATTTACGAGTAAATCGGTTTAATAAATATTTATTTATTGTCTATTCTTTCCACTTTTAGCTTCTTATAGGCTGCATATATCTTTCTCCATTAATTATTACTTTTTTTGAATTAAAATTAGTTTAACAGAATCCAATCCAATCTAATCAAAAGATTAATGTAATTGAGTATGCTTGACATTTTATAATGTTTAAAATTTATAAGAACCTGAGTATGACTATATTGGATTTTACTTAAAATAAACCAATCAAATGATTTATCACTTGCATATGACCTAACAAATCATCACGATGTGAGTCTCGTTATTGCTTCTATCCACAATGGTTTCAATAGTTCAACGTGGTCACAAACCCTGGCCTAAGCTGTCATAACACCGTACCCCTTAAGTAAGCAAGAGTAATATGTAGACCATTTGTTATGGATTATTTAAGTAAGCAAGAGTAATATGTAGACCATTTGTATACTTGATAGAGGAATAAGGACCATGACAATCACTGAACTATTCTAACCGTCTCTAAATAAAGTTTTATTTTGACTTTTTCTTTTTTTTTTTTTTTTTTTTTTTTTTTTTTTTTTGCTTATTTTTGTACTTATATTGAGTATTGACCGATTTTATTTATAAAATATATGTAAATATTTTTATGAAGATATTTTCTCAAACTGAATCCTGCATAATCAATACAATTTTAGACAAAGTAAGCTTAAATTACTACGTTGGACAAAATAAGTAGTATATGCTTTCAGATGATTTAAAATGAAACTAACGTTGGACAAAATAAGTAAAATATGCTTTCAGATGATTTAAAATGAAACTAACGTTGGACAAAATAAGTCGAACCAAATAGAGCCTAAGCCAATGTTTAGATTTCAATTTAGATAATATTAAACGTAATTTTCATCTTTTAAGTGCTAATCATTCAAGCACGATATTTATTGTTAAAATGTGAATAGTAACAAATTTCACCTTTTTAAATTAAAAAGATACGATTAAATCTAAAAGATGAAAATGTTGAGTGCCGACCGCTTTAGTGCTCCTCGAAATATGTGTGATAATGCGCGTACTTTAATAGCTCTCCAATTAGGAATGAAAAAAAATTACAAATAATTAAAAAAAAAAAAAAAAAAAAGTAAAAAGTCCTCTTTGTCTCTAGAAGGTCTAGCTTAGAAGGTCAGTTGGTGCTTCATAATTTGTTTGCTAATGACAATTAGTACTTTCATTTAACAAACAATTAACTTTACTACTATTGCATAAATAGCCAATTTGGAAAATTTTTAGTCGTATTATTACACTCAACCTACAAGTCGAAATTAGATATTTTTATACGAAGTATTTTATAATGGCTTATAAAAGTCATCTTTCCTTTTTTTACTAGTACTGCATAGGGGAGAGCATGGGACAGGTACCCGTACCGATAACGTTATTGGTTCGGGTACCCGATAACCAATAAGGACAAAACCAATAACTGAAACCGATTCGATAAGGAACGGGTGCCCGTAAATTCGGATACCCGAAAATACGGGTACTCGAATAAAATAACCGAACCGAACCAATAAGCTTTTTTTTTTTCCCTTTAAAATACGGGAAGCACGAAGAGAGAAGATGGTCACTGGTGATGATTTGCTGGCGGTGGAGGTGGTGGTTCATGGAGTTTTTCGGCGAAAGATGGTCGTCGCGGGCGGAGAAGCAGGAGTTGCAGGTGGTGAAGTAGAGACGGAGGCGTTCTGAGGTGATGTCAATGTTGGGTAAGTCGCGAGCTTCGTGGATTGTGAGGTCGAGATCTCCGTAGAGGTACACCATTTTTTTTTCTTCTGCCATTATTGAGAGCTTGGAGATAGCCACAGTGCCCACAGAAGAAGGGAGGGGGAGGAGGAGGAGAGAGAAAGTGGGATGGAGGTGAGTGAGAAATCAGAAATGAGGAAAAAACGAGAATTAGGTTTTTTTTTTTAAACAAAACACGGGACTTTCATTTAACATTTTAAATTTTCAGGTATTTCGGGTACCCGAAACTGTCTTAACGGGTACCCGATGCCCGTCCCGTTAAATTCTTATCGGTTCGGTTACCCGTCCCGAATTCTTTAAATGGTTCGAGTACCCAATTATTCAGAACGGTTACGGTTCGAGATTTCGGGTTTTCGATTTTTTGGATATTTTTGCTCAGCCCTAGTACTGCTAGTGTAAAGTTCGGCTAATTTTACTCAAATTGATGTTTATTCGACACAAATATTACTTATTTCCATGAAAGAGATATTAATAAAGTCACTCCGATTCATTTACAGCAATTCAACAATAAGAATTACTTACATTTGTGGGAACAAAACCTAAAACAAAGTATAATTTCAATTAAATTATACAATAATCAATACTAATCAAAGTATTGCAAACCAAGCACCAAAGAATCAAAGAAATACAGAAATTACAAGTAAAACCTCTAATGTGAAAGATACTAAACTTGCCTTAATTCCAAGCCTTTGCAGATGAACATGAACATGAGAATAATGATGACCACTTGAGTCTTAAACCTTGATACTCTGTCTTAGGCGTGTATACACTTTCCTAAAGAGGTTAATTTCCCCCACAACGGTGCTTGGGTTTAATCCAGAAATCCTCTTTGAAATACAAAAGACAGCAATTCGTTCTTTGCACTAAGAATCGAAATATAGATGACTAATTCACAAATTTGGCTGAATTTCAAGTGTTTTTCAATGAAAAGTTTGCAAGATTTTTCAGAGAAAAATATGGAGAATGCTTGGGGAAAAGAAGAGAAAAACTGATCATCCTTTTTTCAACCTCCTTCTTTTCTTTTACAATAAAAAGAACGAAAGAAAACTGCAACCGTCGAAGGACCGCGGGCGCAGACAGAGTGAATTACGATTCACTCAAAGTTTCTGGAGATGGCTGGCCGCGGGCTTCAAGAGGGCGCGGCCCACCCACCGCGGGCGCGGCACCCCAAGCTGCGGGCGCGACCCTTGTTCTCCACATACACTCTAAATATCTAACATATTCGACACAAATATTACTTATTTTCATGAACGAGATATTAATAAAGTCACTCCGATTCATACAAACATAAATTACAAATTTTTAAGTGTGTTACCTACGGATAAATGTTTTTCTTGTGATCAATTCTTATAAGTTTCAAAATTACTTAAAGAAGTAAGCAAGAGATTCACAATCATTAATAACATTTATTGTAGAATCATAATTCATGTTCATTCATCGTATTACAAAGGTTGATGATAATCTTTCTTATTAAGATTGTATCTTTTTTAATTTGACTTACTTTAACTGAACTTATTATTTGACAAAAGGGGGGGGGGGGAGGGGAGATGATGAAGAATATAGTTTAATGAGACACATTTGCTTCTTAAGAGAGAAAGACATTAAAAACGTGATTCACATTACATTCTAATTATTTAGATCCGTATTATATTGTAGATATTTTTAATCTTATTTCATTCATTAATTAAAAAGATTACTTCGTATTATTATTAATACAAATAATTTGTCTGCACTCATTAAATAATTAAATCTTAATAGACAAAAAAGCATGAGCGCAAATGTGCAATGACCGGATTAAAAAATAGCAACCCATTAAGTATTTTATTCATACAAACAAAACACACTTTATTTAATTATTATTAAAATAATTAATTGAATGCAACTTGTCTAAATTATAGCAGATCATACGAATATTATACCAGGGTATAGCCTTGTAGATTACTACAATCCGTACAATAAAACAATCACAAAAGATTATCCAAACAAAAAAAATTATTTATTACGTGCATCCAAGTTAATATTTTTTTTTTTAGAAATTGATTGATTTGCAAACAATTTGGTAATTTTAAATTTTTTAATGACTAAAAAAAAATTAACATATTCAAATAAGTAATAAAAAGTCCATCGATAAATCTACATTCATAAAATACGTCTGTATACAATATAAAGCGAGCTTAAGAATAATTAAACGAAATCAAAATAAACGAAACTAAATAATTAGACATGTTACCCTAAAACAAAAAAACGTTGCCAAATGAGAATACTTTAAAAAAAATTCACAAAAAAAAAAAAAAAAAAAAAAAAAAAAAAAAAAAAAAGATTTAGAACCTCCCTGGAAAATGGGAAAACTCTTAAAATAAAAAAAAACGACTTTCAACCCTTGAAAAATCTCAAGGCCGCCCTTCCTCAACTACTTCATTGATTCCAATAGTAAGAAATTCCTTTATTAAAGGATCTTCATTCCTATATAAAGTCATCACCTCTTTCGTCATCCTCTCATTCATTTCATTCATTTTACAAATCTTTTCATACACTTTAGCTTTTAATATATTTTCAATTTTCATACTTTAACATAAACGGTCCACATTATATTCCATATATATACATAACCTAAGCTTTTTTTTTATTTAGCAACCCAAACAGTCTTACTACAAGTTTCATTTTTTTTCTTTGACAATCATAACAATTTTTTGATTCATTCATACTTATCATCGAACGCAATTTGGGTTGTGTTTTTGATTTGATAACGACGAAGAAAAAGAGGTGTAACAAGTTTTATTCTTGGCTATAATTTGGTGTTATTAAGGAAGTATGGATGGGGCGGATATGGCTAAGTTTGGTGGGAGTTTACGACGAAATGGTTCGGTGTGGAGGAGCCAAATGTCGGACGCAGTGTTTTCGCAATCGACGAGGGAGGAGGATGATGAAGAGGCTCTAAAATGGGCTGCTCTTGAGAAACTTCCTACGTATGATCGTCTAAGGAAAGGTATATTGACGGCGTCTCATGGTGTTGGTAATGAGATTGATATTCAAGCTCTTGGGTTTAATGACAAAAAGAGTCTTGTTCAAAGGTTGATTAATGTTACTGAGGAAGATAATGAGAAGTTCTTGTTAAAACTCAAGAACAGAATTGAAAGGTACTTTTTTTTTATTACATGATACTCGTTATGTTTTATTTATACAATTATTGGTTATTCGTATTGACAGATAACAGTAGTTTTAGGTGTACTTGAGAATAACTGAATATGTCACATTTTCTGAATGATCCAAAATAATTAACTCTGCTGATATTAATTTCAGGGTTGGGATTGATATACCAACAATTGAAGTGAGATATCAGAATCTAAATATTGAAGCAGAAGTATATGTTGGAAGTAGAGCTTTACCATCATTTGTTAATTTTTTGACAAATATTGTTGAGAGTGCTTTGAACTACTTGCATCTACTTCCCAACCGAAAGAAGCATTTAACTATTCTTCATGATATCAGTGGTATTGTCAAGCCAAACAGGTAAATAATTTTACTGAATTAAGAAATTCAAAATATGATTATAATTTTATATGAACAAAGTTTGTTTATTTATTTTTTCATGTTAATAATTAATGTGTGTTTATATTAAATAATTTTAGGATGACATTACTTTTGGGTCCACCAAGTTCTGGGAAAACATCTCTGCTTCTAGCTTTGGCAGGGAAGCTTGACAAAGAGCTTAAGGTACATAATCTTTTTTCATGTACAATGAGTTAATTTACTTGTTTAAGTCTGTAAGAGGAACATTAACACATTCACACGCGTAAATAACTATATTATAGCCTTTGAAACTTGATCACGATTCTAGGATTTTAAAAATTTGTACCACTCTAATATGTACAAGTCACGTATGGACATATTTATGAGGAGACGGGATGATTTAGTTAAAACAAATTCCTTTATTCAAAAAAAAAAAAAAGTTAAAACAAATTCCTAATTTTTCCAGGCCCATCATTATCAAAGAAAGTCAAAATACATGTTCCGTGTTTTTTTCACAATTCTTTTTCATCAATTGGACCTTGTTACTCTTTAAGGAAAACTGAGTCAATTTTATTGATTGTTTTGGTGTATAGCTTAGTATAACTTTGACTATATATAATATTTATAAGGAATATAATCTTAATATGAATTTAAACATAAACAGGTTTCTGGGAGAGTAACATACAATGGACATGACATGAATGAGTTTGTACCACAAAGAACAGCTGCTTACATTAGCCAACATGATGTGCATATTGGTGAAATGACTGTGAGAGAAACCTTTGCTTATGCTGCTAGATTCCAGGGTGTTGGATATCGATATGGTTCGTTCTTTTCCATTAATCTGTGCAATTGTTTCCTATACAATAATGTTTATCGAGTACTCGATTGATAACTAATTGTTCCATATATTGAATATATTGCAGAAATGTTAGCTGAGTTATCTAGAAGGGAGAAAGAAGCTAACATTAAGCCTGATCGCGACATTGATCTTTTCATGAAGGTATATTTAAAACATCGAAAGCAGGGGACTCTGTTTGGACTCTGTTTTTTTATTTTTTTTATTTTTATAATGACAATTTTGACTAATTAATTAAAGATACAGAATAACTAAATGTTTAATGTTACACAAGTTATTGACTTGTAAGATTAGTTGAATTAGAAAAACAGAGGAAAAGACAGGGGACTCTGTTTTTAATGAAAATTTTCTTCCAGAAAAATTGCAATGTACTAATCTTAACAAATTTGTAATGTTATAGGCCTCAGCAGTTGAAGGCGAAGAGGAAAATGTCGTTACCGATTATATCCTAAAGATTTTAGGATTAGAGAATTGCGCTGATACCATGGTAGGAGATGAGATGATAAGAGGTATTTCTGGTGGACAAAGGAAGAGAGTTACAACTGGTAAGAGCATAATCTTAATTTTAGGAAGTTAGTACTAAAATTAACACTCACTTTTTTTTATACTAAGTAAATTTTGTTCTACTTAATATAGGTGAAATGTTAGTTGGTCCAGCTAAGGCATTGTTTATGGATGAAATATCAACTGGTTTAGACAGTTCTACTACATACCAAATTGTGAACTCAATCCGTCAATCAGTCCATATTCTCAATGGAACCGCGGTCATATCTCTTCTACAACCAGCACCTGAAACATACAACCTTTTCGATGATATCATCCTTCTTTCGGATGGTCTCATTGTGTACCAAGGTCCTAGAGAACATGTACTCGAGTTCTTTGAGTCCATGGGGTTCAAGTGTCCGGACAGAAAAGGTGTTGCCGATTTCTTGCAGGAAGTAAGTAACCAACATAAAGCCTTTCCTAGAAAATTTTTAATGTATGGACTTCTTTTTTCTAATGAGATGATTTTGTGCATAATATAACAGGTGACTTCTAAGAAAGATCAGCAACAATACTGGATAAGAAGGAATGAGCCTTACCGTTTTGTTCCATCAAAGGAATTCGCCGAGGCATTCCAATCTTTCCATGTTGGACGGAAGATTGCTCAAGAGCTAAGTGTCCCCTTTGATAAGACTAAAAACCACCCGGCTGCTCTAACAACACACAAGTACGGTGTTGCACCAATGGAATACATCAAAGCAAACATGTCTAGAGAGTACTTATTGATGAAGAGGAACTCCTTTGTCTACATCTTCAAGATTTGTCAGGTTTGCCTTCATTTATACACTACTTTGAATGACATTAGTTAGGAATTATTTAATATATATGATTACTAAAATTTCATTGTTGTGCAACAGCTTACTATAATGGCTATCATTGCAATGACCTTGTTCTTCCGTACCAAGATGCATAGGAAAACCGTCACAGATGGTGGCATCTACACCGGTGCACTATTTTTCTCGGTGGTGATGATTATGTTTAATGGTATGGCAGAGATGTCCATGACAATAGCAAAACTTCCGGTGTTCTACAAGCAACGAGACCTCCTCTTCTTCCCCGGGTGGGCTTATGCCCTTCCTGGTTGGATCCTTAAGATCCCTATAACCATCTTTGAATGCGCGGTTTTTACCTTCATCACATACTATGTCATTGGATTTGACCCTAGTGTTGCAAGGTACTAACTCCTAATTAAGCTCTTCACATTTTTTTTTATTCCTGCCTTTTATAACTTATCATGTTTATTTGATGAAAAATAAATTTCTCTTGCAGGTTGTTCAAGCATTACCTCATATTAATCCTCGTAAATCAGATGGCTTCTGCTCTATTTAGAGCCATTGGATCAATAGGGAGAAATATGATTGTCGCGAATACATTTGGAGCGTTTTGTTTGCTAGCACTTTTTGCCTTAGGAGGATTCGTTCTCTCACGAAGTATGACTCTTCACAAAATCCTAGTCTTATAATTAAGCTCAATAAACTAGTTAATACACACCCTTGATGCTTATGTTTATTTTTCGATTGCAACAGACGATGTCAAGCCATGGTGGATATGGGGTTACTGGTCTTCACCTATGATGTATGCTCAGAATGCTATACTTGTCAACGAGTTCCTTGGAAGTAAATGGAATAAAGTACGATCTCTTTACATTTATGCTTCATGTTGGTTGTGACATTCATTTATGCATACAACTTGTTTATAACATTTTTTTTTTTATTTTTTTTTATCCTGTAATTCACAGATTCCTGCAGGGAAAACTGTAACACTTGGTGTCGAGGTCCTAACAGGACGAGGCTTTTTTCCATATGCGTACTGGTATTGGATCGGTGCAGCAGCATTAGTCGGATTTGTCCTTGTTTTCAATGTCCTCACCATTTTTGCTCTCACTTTTCTCAACCGTAAGATCCTCTAAAACTCGCTTATTATTACTTTGTTTGCTGAATTTTGTAATCATTTATCCTTTGATTACCAAGGAATTATGCTAAATTGTTGTTGTGTATTCAGCATTTGGAAAAGCTCAAGCAGTTCCGGACGATGAAGATGAAAAGAAGAACAATAGAAGTGGTGGTGCTTTGGAGATGACTTCCGGAAGGGCCTCTCAAGGTGATGATCAAGCCGATTTTTCTTAAACTTAAGCATGTGTGATGGTATTTACAAACTAAATGTATTAATCAATTGTTTATCCAACATGTAGAAAATGGAAATGAAATCGTTGTTGAAGCACCAGTGAAAAGGGGAATGGTCCTTCCCTTCGAACAACATTCCATTACATTTGATGAAATTCGATATTCAGTTGACATGCCTCAGGTAAAAATACATCTCATCAACAAGCTACTCCCATTCTGTTATTTAGTGATTTAGTATGACCGACTTTATTAACCAGTATAATGCATCAAAATATGCAGGAAATGAAAGAACAAGGTGTGGTTGAAGATAAATTGGAACTTCTAAAAGGAGTTAGTGGAGCTTTCAGGCCTGGTGTTCTGACGGCTCTCATGGGAGTTAGTGGTGCTGGAAAGACCACTCTTATGGATGTTCTTGCCGGTAGGAAGACTGGAGGATACATCGATGGAGATATTAAGATTTCAGGTTACCCGAAGAAGCAAGAAACTTTTGCTAGAATTTCAGGATACTGTGAGCAAAATGATATCCACTCTCCCCATGTCACTATCCATGAATCTTTGCTGTACTCAGCTTGGCTTCGTTTGTCACCTGATGTGGATGTTAAAAAAAGAGAGGTAGGTGTACTTATTGTTTGTTACTTGAATATCTTAAGGTTTATATGCAGTGTCGAATCTAGGATGCAGGATGTTTAATTTCTATGCTACGAATTTCTTGTCTAACGAAACAAGTTTTGATTCCTTTATGTAGATGTTTGTGGAAGAGGTGATGGAGTTGGTTGAGTTAACCACATTAAGGGGGGCACTTATTGGGCTACCGGGTGTGAGTGGTCTCTCAACAGAACAACGAAAGAGACTTACAATTGCAGTTGAGCTAGTTGCAAACCCCTCTATCATCTTCATGGATGAGCCAACTTCAGGGCTTGATGCTAGAGCTGCTGCTATTGTGATGAGGACTGTCAGAAACACAGTCGATACAGGAAGAACTGTGGTTTGTACCATTCATCAACCTAGCATTGATATCTTTGAGGCTTTTGATGAGGTAAATAATTTGTCAAATGAGGCCAGTCTGTACTGTTATCTTTCTAAGAACTTCTAGGCCGAATGCTAATGATATTGGTGAATACATTAATGCAGCTATTCTTGATGAGAAGAGGAGGTGAAGAAATATATGTTGGACCCTTGGGACATCATTCTTCTGAACTAATCAAGTACTTTGAGGTAAATATTCTATATAACAATCACTCTATCAGGTCTTCATTTCATAATCCTGTATAATTGTATTCATGTAATATGCATTTGAATTCTTCAGAGTATCCAAGGAGTACCGAAAATCACAGATGGTTACAATCCTGCGACATGGATGTTGGAGGTCTCAACTCCAGCACAAGAGGTAGCACTTGGATTAGATTTTACAGAACATTACAGGAATTCAGACCTATACAGGAGAAACAAAGCAGTGATTCAAGAGTTGGGAACGCCTCGACCTGGTTCACAGGACCTCTATTTCCCTACTATATACTCCCAATCATTCTTCTCACAGGTTATGGCTTGTTTGTGGAAACAACGCCTGTCCTACTGGCGTAATACTCCTTACACTGCTGTCAGATTTGTCTTTACCGTGGCTATTGCTCTGACATTCGGAACTATCTTCTGGCAACTTGGAGGCAAAACGTAAGTTTAATTTGTTCAAACTATAATATTACTTAGCAATCCTTGGAGTTGATGAAATTTATCGTACTAATTGATTGTTATTTTTGGTATTTTTCCAGGAGTAAACAACAATATCTAATCAATGCCATGGGTTCGATGTATGCTTCTACCCTGTTTCTTGGAGTGCAAAATGCATCATCTGTCCAACCTGTAGTGTCTATTGAAAGAAGTGTCTTTTATAGAGAAAAGGCAGCAGGAATGTACTCAGCTTTGCCTTATGCTTTCGCTCAGGTACTTACAGTCTCACCTTCGCCTCACCTGCTTGTTACTAAAACTTGTCATCCCATGTTATTAGTTAGTATTCTAATGCAACTATTGAATTTCAGGCGTTGGTTGAGATACCATACGTCTTTATGCAAGCAGCAACATATGGTATCATAGTGTATGCTATGATCGGGTTTGATTGGACCGCTGCCAAGTTTTTCTGGTACTTGTTCTTCATGTTCTTCACTCTCCTATACTTCACATTCTACGGCATGATGGCTGTGGCAATCACACCAAACCATCACGTTGCTGCTATCGTTGCTGCTGCTTTCTACGGAATATGGAACCTGTTCTCTGGATTCATTGTCCCCAAACCAGTAAGTTCTTCCAAACAAATTCTCATACATTAATGCTAAGAATGTTACTGTAATATAATTATCATAAATTCATAATCGAACTGTCATGCATAGCTATAACAATATAGCACGAAAAAAAATCTTACTATTTGCGTCTTATTGTTTATAACTTTGTTATGTGCACTTCAACTATGCCAGTTTTATGATACAAGATATAGGAATATTAGTATATATAATGCTAAATTGTTGGCTACTAAACCTTTTTTTTTTTTTTGGTTGTCTAACAGAGAATTCCTGTATGGTGGAGATGGTACTACTACCTTTGCCCATTGTCTTGGACATTGTATGGATTAGTAGCATCACAATTTGGAGACGTAACGGATAGAGTCACAGATAGCATCTTTGATCCGCCTACAGTGCAAAGATATATCGAAGGCTACTTTGATTTCAAGCATGACTTCCTAGGGGGTGTCGCGGGGATTGTCATTGCCTTCACCATCCTCTTTGCAACCATCTTTGCTTTCGCCGTCAAGAACTTCAACTTCCAAAAGCGATGATATAACCATTTTGAAACATACTTGAATTGCCATTTAAGGCATAACTCTACAAGTATACATAAATTTTTGTTATTTTTGTTAATTTTGTTATTTTACTTAATTTTGTACTATAACAGATTCTTTTCTTTTAGATTTTATGAGATAAACGATCGTATATATGTAACATGTATAATAGTATATAGCCAAGCATTACAATAAGAATAAAGATCTTAGTTCAAATTTGAGTATCAATGTTATTGCAATTTTAGCTAAACTTGATATTTTGTCCTTGTAATGAATACTTCTACAAATTTTTCATTCTAATTTACCTGGAATCACCCTTATAATTTGCAAGTGTTTTCATAATAACCCTTGCATATAATAATGGGCTATTGCACATTGGTTTACGTTGAATTACCCTTAATTAAAAAATTTCCGTTACACGATTTATTAAGAAACGACGAAATGCTAATCAAATTAACTTTTATCTAATCAAATTACTTGATATAGTTTTAATACATTCTCTAGCACATAAACATTATATTTTTTAGTCCACATTCTCTCAAAAAAGATGCTTTCTGTAGAGATTTAGTTTTCGCGTTGTTAGCTCAAATTAGATTGTCAACTTGACCACTATTAAATCCGACAAAGAAAATGCTTCTAAATTTCCTACAATTTATTCGTTGATCCTCACTGAAATATCAAATACCTTCTTGATAGGCATGAGCCGCATGATATATTGATATGCATCTAAAGATTTTGAGTTTATCGATCAACTAAGGATAAACACAATGCAAATTTCTTCATCCAACAGTATGTATCCCATCTCTATAATCAACTAAGAATTGATTGAAGGTCAAATTATTTATGATATCAACATAAAATAAAGTACATAAGTTATTATAAACAATTATGCTGTTCTTTTAGAGTTCTGTCTTCATAATAGATCAATTATTACTTTATGTGGCTTAGGAAAAAAAAAAATCGCCGTTGCCGGGGATCGAACCCGGGTCACCCGCGTGACAGGCGGGAATACTTACCACTATACTACAACGACCTTGTTGACCATAATTAATTTTGATAATTATTTAACATTAAAACGTTACACTAAACAAAGAAATAATGTCCACACAAATTATGTGATGTATAGAAAGACGTAAAAGGTTTTATATATACTGCGACATAATATAATCAATTAAATACATATGTAATTTATAGCGAGCAGATTTCCCATCACTCTCCTAATTATGGACAAAAGGTCCCAATTTATATTTTTTATGAAGTATAATTGGCAAAATTAATCAATTGCCTTGCACTACACGAGTCATTATTTCGAATAATTTGCATAATGATGATAATAAAAATATGAAATCATATTGGGTTGTTAAGTTTGAGGAATGTCATTCTCAATCATAGAGTTATTATAGTATATGAAGGAGTTGTACATTATTTATTTGGATGACTATTTTTATACAATCAACTAGTGTGTGACTCGAGCTTTACCCCAGGTGATACTTTGAATAATTTCATTTTTATATTAGACGCTTTAAAAGACTTAATAAATTTTTTTAACGTGGGTAAATTAGAATACAATGACAACAATAATTTATTCTACATTCTAATACTTGTATTTGTTTATATATAAAATTGGATTAATAGAGCATGAATCAATTCTAGTCAAGATGGTAATACATATGGTTTCCATTAAATGAGGTTTGGGGTTCAAATCTCTTCCCATACATTTTTAATTAAGATGATGATGTGACATGAACCTAAAAGTTGTTGAATGATGATGTGGCGCTATAATGGTGTAAAAAAGGATGCACGCGGCACATTCACAAATTTCCAACTGCTGACATCATCCTCTTTTCAAATTGTACATATGTCAAGTTGTTGTAGAAAATTTTACCGCCTAAATCAATTGCTGACATCATATTCTTATCCTTATTTTTACTTTTTTTTAAAAAGATTATTATATTATATTATTTTTAAGATAATTATTATATTATATTATACTCCATATTTTATATAGTATTATGGATTTATGAGTGACTATTTGGCTTCCAAATATAATTACTCTCGGTTAATTAAAGTGTACTCTGTATTGTATAATTTGCTTAAATTTTTACTCTTCTTCAAAATTATTTAGTTTTAAATAGCATTGCAATTAATAATTATATATATGGCTAATCTAGTAAAAGAATAATAATAGCACTTAAGGATAAATATGTGGAGTAGGGTTCCCACTAGGGTTTCTCCTTGGGAGGGTTTTTCGATTCCCTCTAGGGTTTCTCCCTTGGGAGGGTTTTTCTAGCCTCCATTGCTACATTTTTTCTGCTTTTTTGAAGGTTTTCCTTCACTATTCTCCTTTTCTCTCTTTCTCTTTCATTTCTTTTCTTCTGGTATCAATTATAAATTTTTGTAGGGGCCTCCACCGGTGTTTTTACCGGTGGTAAGCCCCAAAAAACTTTTTAATTGCTTTCAATAAATGGATCCCATCTTTATGATGGTGTTTATTCTATTAGGCTTAATTTATTTGTTTGTTCGTATGCCGAAGATTAAATATTTTGTTGGATATTTAGAGTGTTGATGGTTGCGCGCTCGCGACCATGAAGAGCGCCCGCGCAGAGAGCGCGCCTAAACCACGCACCTCTCTTGAAATCAACAAATTGGAAGGGTGTGGTTGGCGCGCCCACGCGTCCTGGTGGAGCGCCCACGCTGCTGGTCGCGCCTAAACCGCGGCCCTCACTGCCTTCTTGTGGAATCTCGCAAATTTTGGGAGATGCGCCCGCGCTGAAATGTGGCGCGCCCGCGCCTCCTGGGTTGCTCCCGCGCCTCCCTGTTTTGCGGTTTTTCCTGACGGTTGAGTCTTTATTAAAAGACAATTTTTCGTAAAAGAAAAGCACAGAAGTTAATTCTTCATCTCTCCAAAAGTAATTTCTCCACATTTTCTCTCAAATTTCTTGCAAACTTTTGTGAGAAAACTCTTTCAATTAATCTGATTTTGGTGAATTTGTCATCTTTATTTCGATTCTTAGTGCAAAGAACGAAATTGCTGTCAATTGTATCTCAAAGAGGATTTCCGGTTTAACCCAAGCACCGTGTGGGGGAAATAAACCTCTTTAGGAAAGTGTATACACGCATTTGACAGTGTATCAAGGTACTAGTCTTACGGGACATCGGTTTTCTCATGTTCATGTTTGGAATTAACGGCTTGGAGGAAAGGCAAGTTTTATCATCTTCATACTAGTGTAATCTTTGTAATTTTTCAGTAATTTCTTAGATATATTTAATACTTGATTGTGATACATTGAATTGTATTTGACATTTACAATTATATTGTAATCATATTTTAGGATTTGTTCCCACACATTGTTTTAAGTGTTTTCTTGATTGAAATCGCTGTAAATCCTAACAATCTAAAGAGATTTATTCTTAGAATTTATCAAGTATGTCTAGTGTGAAGGAATTAACAACAAATTTTATCAAACTCAAGAAGTTTGATGGTGTTGAATTTAGAAGGTAGAAGAAGAAAATGTATTTTCTTCTTACATCTCTAAATGTTGCCTAAGTGATAAGTACTCTAAGGCCGGATGAACATGACAATGAGACCTTGGAATCCGTTCGGGAAAGATCAAAATGGGACAACGATGATTTTATATGTCGTATTCACATTTTGAATGGGATGGAGGATGATCTTTTTGACGTTTACCAAAATGTTGAGTCGGCTAAGGAGCTTTAGGAGTCCTTAGAGAGCAAATACATGGCGGAAGACGCTTCAAGTAAGAACTTTTTAGTTAGAAATTTTAATAACTTTAAATTTGTTGATGGTCGGTCCATAATGGACCAATTTCATGAATTGCAACATATCTATGGTAGCTTGGAACAACATGGAATAGCCATGAATGAATTGTTTGTTGTCTCAAGCATTATTGATAAGTTACCCCCTAGTTGGAAAAATGTTAAGCATGATTTAAAGCATAAGAAAGAGGACATGACATTGTCCGGTTTGGCCACCCATCTTCACATTGAAGAAGGGATTCGTGCCATGGAAGGAGCTAAGGATGGAAATCCTAGCACATCTACCGTGAACATGGTAGATGAAGGGAGAGCTAGTGCATCTACTAGTGGAAAGAGGAAGAATAATAGTTCTTCCAAAGGAAAGTCCAAAAAGCAAGAAAACAATAACAAATTTGCTTGTTGGGAATGCAGTAAAGTTAGTCACCGCAAGAAGGACTGCTAACGAAAGCAAGGACCCACCCACTAAAGGTAATCTTATTCATGAGGTTGAATTTAATTCCAGTTTGGATTTAAATGCAACGGATTCTAACATTTTTATGGTGCAGGATGATGACTCATGGTGGATTGATTCGGGGGCTTCAAGGCATGTGTGCAAGAGTAAACACTGGTTCAAAACCTTTCAAAAGGTTGTTGATGGAGAAGACCTCTACATGGGGAACAACTCTACCATCAAGGTTCTTGGAAGAGGACAAGTTGAGCTTGTGTTTAGTTCAGGGACTGCAATTATTCTTAGGAATGTTTTGTATGCTCCAAAAATCAGTAGGAATCTTGTATCCGGGCCTACCCTGAATAGTCTTGGCTATAAGCTTGTATTTGAAGCTAATAGATGCATTATTACTAGGGGTGTAACATTTGTTGGTCGTTGTTATTTGGATAATGGTTTGTTTAAACTCTCTTTGAGAGACAAGTATGTATTTGATGATGATATGTGTTTGAATGTTGTTGACAATGTTAATCAAGTTGATTTGAATTTGTTTGATTTATGGCATTCAAGGTTAGGACATGTGAATTATAATAAAATGTTTTTCATGTCAAAACAAAAATTGATTCCTTCTTGTGATATTTCTCCTAATAAATGTTCTACTTGCATGTTGAACAAGATCACTAGAACTCCTTTTAAGAGAGTTGAGAGAAGTTCTAATATTTTAGAACTAATCCATAGTGACTTGTGTGATTTTTATAATACTCTTTCTTTGGGGAACAAAAGATACATGATTACATTTATAGATGATTATTCTAGGTTTTGTTATGTGTATCTTTTACATTCCAAAGATGAAGCTTTAACAAAGTTTGATTTATATAAAAGAGAAGTAGAACTGCAAGTAGAATCATTAATTAAGAGAATTAGAACTGATAAGGGAGGTGAGTATTATGATTCGACTTATTTCCAATCTTTGGGTATAATTCACGAGACTACAGCGGGTAATGCACCACAATCAAATGGTGT